GTTGTGTCATGGCAAGACGCTGAGGCGGGAGGGCGTTCCGGGAGCCTTTCCTGCTTCAGGGGCGTGTCCTCAACTTTCTCTAAGGTGCTGAAGCGACAGGGCCTTGGGGTTTTTCCATGACACATGGAACGCTCTTGGCTTGATTCATTCAGTATGCACTGGCAGCCTCTGGAGGCTTCTGTGGGAGCAACTCAGCTGCCGACGCTGGGGCACAAACCCTGCCAGGTCTCCACAGTAAACACAACATGCACGGAGAGGCAACATGAAGAAAGGATTTATTTTCTCATGTAGAAGACGACTTGGTTCTTCAAGCTCTGGTCCTACCTCACTTTGTCACTTGGGCGTGCCAACTGGGAGTCACACAAGGAGCTTATTCCAAGCACATACAGAGAAGACAAGAGCGGATTACTTGATGCACACACATCCAGTGGACCTGAACCCAGACAAGTTCTGGAAGGAGGACGCTGGGACTCACGTGAACATCCCACATCCTGGCACAGGTGAACAGTGTTGGCTTCTCCGTCTCCAGCCTTGGTAGATCCATGAGTCATATGGTTTCACAGAACAGTAACTTGTCCCTTCATCATGTTTTCCTCTGTTTCTAAAGAGACATCTCTTTGTGTGACTGTTGTATTCAGATCTGTCTCCCAATTCTGCTTGTAAGCTGAGAGCAAAGACCTTGTCAGGGTCATCTCTGAGGTTCACGGAGAGAACCTGGCACATACGAGGTGACTGGTAATTGATTGTTGACTGAAAGCCAGAACCCCATTTCCTTTCCTTTCCTAAGCATATCAAAGTCTCTGTCTGAAATTGAATAGTTTCTTCAGTGTTTACCAAGTGCTAACAAAACTGAGATAGGGAAACACACACACACACACACACACACACACACACACACACACACACCCCTATTACACTGGCCCAAGGCAATGCAAACCGTTCACCTTGTGTCGGACTTTCAGAATCTTTTAAGGGCCATCACAAATCCCCAAGTGATTGGATTTTTTTATACTTTTTATGTCTCTCTAACAGCAGCCTTACTAGGTTTGCTATTGTCTTTGGCGATTTCTACATGTGAAAAATGTTTTGAGTACACATTCATCTTTTAATACCAAAGATTTGGATGGACACAAAGAAGGAGCGCTGAAGAAAGATCACATGTGAAAACACTGTCAGGTCTTTACAAAGACCTAAGAGTACAAGTTACTGTTAACAATAAGGTCACACGTGACTACACGTACCAACATAGACAGGTAAATAAAATAATAAAAGCTGTCTGGTATTGTCCAGTTCCTTTATTTGGAAGGTGTTACTGACCCTAGAAGAATACAAAACCTCTTCTAAAGCTTACTAATATCAGAACACAATGGGTTAGAAATAATGTCTTGAAATAAGCAGAGGTACAATATTCCTGTATCTCCCTCAGCTGTCTATCCAGGACAGAAAGTCTGACTCACCCAGGTGATTAATTCAGGAAAGAGGATTACTGTAAATGTAAGACTTTAACTACCTGTGAACCCGAGTTCAAACCACCTTTCGGTCCTCACGTGAGACCCAACTATGGCTGGTAACTTTCACTACTTTGCTCAGAGATTCTAGCCAATGACTCTGTCAACACCCTCATACAAAATGAACCCAGGCATTTCAAGGTATATGCCTGACTGAGTCCTTCGGTTTAGAACCACTGGGTAGCTATGTGGAATAGTAAAACCATTTAATGTATAAGCAATTCTTTCCTGATTTTTTCTCATGACTCAAACGCATGTGTCTGCATGTTGGCATTTACTAACTTACTAAGACGTAGTTCCTAAATACCTATGAGAACATCCAGGTGAACAAGACTAAGTAAGTGTCTCTCTTTTAATGACTCACCGCTTTATACATAAAAGCCCTAACAAGACAGAAAATATTATGAAAGCTATTTCTCTAGGGCTGGAACAAAGGCTCAGAGGTTAACGGTGACTGCTGTATAATCATGAGGACTGGAGTTTGGACCTTCAGTACCCACATAACAAGCTAGTCATCCCACAAATTAACTCCAGTTCTGAGGGAACGGACTCCCTCTTCTGGCCTCCTCTTGCACACAGGCTCATGCACCCCACACAAGTTCACATACATTTACACATACACAAAATCAATCGATCGTTTTTTTTTTTTTTTTTTTTAAAGGACGTTACGCTAGGAACCGTAAGGGGAGAAGACTCAGTTCCCAAAGGTGGTTTGCAGGAAAGGGTGGGTGAAACAAGCCCTGAAAATAAGCAACATACTCACAATTTCCACACAGTTAAGATGGTGGCCTCGGTCAGTTAACTTTGCAAATTTTTTGCCATCCTGCAAATTAAGTGGCTTTCCATTTCCTTGTGTGACATAACCTACTGTAAAATGGGTATTTCTAGGCAGTGGAGTGCAGCCTATTGAAAGAAAACTAAAAATAACATAGCAGTTCAGTATGTTAAAATTGAATGCATTCATTCACAGTGAGTCTGTTTTTATTATGTGTATAAAAATCAAAGCATCATTTTATTATGTGAATTCTTTTTTCCTGGGAGCAGGAAAAAAATAGTAAAACTGGGAAAATTTTTAAATGCAGTACCTTAAAGAGAACATACCTCTCAACACTGCCATTAAACTCTAAATATGATTTTTGAAATGAAGTCTTTCCCAGCTGCTAACATCTCTTGTTGTGTCACTATAGTAAATATAAATTAGCCAATACAAACTAGGTACCAAATAATCATAGCAGCATGTTTGTCGTTGCCCTTTTCTTGGGATATGAAATAATTAGCCTGCATCTTCCTGTTTAAACATACCAACTCTTAGCAAGAATGGGATGCCATCTGGAGAGGACAGGAACCCTAAAAGGAGACCAACAGAACCAGAAAATTTGAACACAGGGGTCTTCCTAGAGATTCATACTCCAACCAAGTACCAGGCATGGAGATAACCTAGAAACACTGCTCTGATGTAGCCCATGGCAGTTTAGTGTCCAAATGGGTTTCATAGTAATGGGAAGAGGGACTGCCTCTGACATAATCTGATTGGCCTGCTCTTTGATCACCTCCCCCTGAGGGGGGAGCAGCCTTACCAGGCCACAAAAGATGACAATGCAGCCACTCCTGATGTGATCTGATAGACTAAGATCAGAAGGAAGGAGAGGAGGACCTCCCTTATCAGTGGATTTGGGGAGGGGCATTCGTGAAGAAGAGGGAGGGAGGGTGGGACCGGGAAGGGAGGAGGGAGGAGCTTATGGGGGGATACAAAGTGAATAAAATGTAATTAATAAAAAAAAAGAACGGGATGCTAGCTGATGTTACTCATAAGTTGAGTAACATCTTCAAATTTAACAAGGAAAAAAAATAAAACAAAACCCAGCTGGGTTTCCTGTTTTTATTTATAGTTGTTATGGCTAATTTAGGGAAATTAAGACAAAAGTATCCTGCTGACTCAGCTCATCCTTCCCCAATTAATGTGCCCAGGGACTAGTCCAGTCATCTGCCCCCTAATGATCCCCTCAGTCACAAAGCCTATTCAAGCTTCTCCCTAGGGACCCCCCAAAACCAACACAGTAAGTTCCTGGGGAAGTGCACACAGCCTACCTCACCCTTCCCACTGGGGAAGCACACAGATTCAGCCCTTTCTGGTGCTGTCATGTTAAAATCTGAGGGCTTGCCTCACTCCACCCAAAGCTGAGGCCTGTCCTTTAAATATCCATTTGGGCCTTGTCATCTCTAAGGCACTGGCAAAGCGAGCAAAGAGGGAACACACAGGATTTATCTTTCAAGAACACAATGTAGTTCAAATAATGCTCCAGGGAAATCTGGTGCCTTGGGGAAGCAGCCCATGTTGGGAATGGAAGGTTTGCAGACTGTGGGATTTGTGCCTGGCTGAGAGAGGAAAAGACAAGGAGGCAGAAGTAAGTTGTGTAAGCTGAATGTTTTTCCTGACCAAGTTGCTTTTCTCCAAAGCTTCCACTCCTGGAGTTCAACTTTGCCACAGACACTGAAGGAACCTGGGGAGGCTGTTTTTGTTGTTTCTCTGTGTAGCCTTCCTGGAGCACATCCATCAGGGACAGAGCACATCCATCATTCTCTCACAACAGTGGCCAACAATGCTTCCTTACATTTCTCAAGAACAGCCCCTGCCCAGGCCAGGTTCTGATTTTGGAACCTCTTTGAGGCAGAAGATGGATTCTTTTGCCCAAGTTTTAATTTAATATGTCTGAGAGCAACATTTCTACAGCTTAATTCTCTGTCTCCATCTCCTGTCCCACTGGCAACACAGAGAAGAAAGATTGTTTCCCTCTAGCTACTTACACAAAGCAAGATTTAAGAAAAGACATCGATACTGACTACCAGGGTGCTTGCCTTAGAATTCTGTAGAATACAGCAAGATGGGTTCTAAAGAGAAACAGGAATTATTTGAATTTAAGGGCTATTACATCCCTGAATCTGAATGGGACAAAGAACAGGAGAGCTTAAGTGCTTTGCCAAGACTGGGCCTCGGGTTCTCTCTACTCCGGCACTGTGAAGCCTTCACCTGGCTGGGCAGTGCTGCTCATTCAGAGGTCATTCAAGTTCACAGTCAATTTCATTTCTCCTGTCCCTGATGGCATCACAGCTCCAGAAGTCTGCTGTATCCCACCTGGGCAGACTCAAGTCACACTGCCGCAGACAGGTGACATCCCACTTGCCCTCTCCACCCTGACCCCTAGCTCATTATCTAGGAACTCTAGAAACACAAGCTATAGCACAACGCATTTAGAAAACTCACTTGTAACTGACTCCCTTCTAGTGGCTAGGATGCCAACAGGCTATTTCTGCAACGGGTTCCCACCGGAAACAAACCCAGCCAGGTGTGTCTGAAACCGTGAGCAAAGCGTCTAATAAAAGAGCACAATGGCATTCTGTGTGCAGAACCAACATTAGGAGCACATGGGGGGTGCAGTTTGTCATTTCAAACAGGAAGACCAAGTTTAACGAAAGGACAGTGGTCTCACTCACCACTGAGGTAAGGGCCATCTGGAAACTATAGATGCGGGCAAGGCCGAAGTCAGCCAGTTTTATTTGTCCACTGCTGGTGACCAGAATGTTCTGTGGTTTCAGATCGCGATGCACTACTCGGTGAGAGTGAAGGAAGTCCAGACCTCGGAGAAGCTGGAACATCATATCCTAAAGGAAAGGCAAACGTACACATGTCAGCAGCTGCTCAAAACGGTGCACGCGCTCCAACAGCCGTCACTGAATCCACAGCAGATGTGTGAAATACGTGACAGTCCCCCGTCTCTCATCCTCCCGCCTTACAGAACACTGTAAAACACTTAAGTACCAATGGGCGTTTATCAGCAAAAGGACGGCTGGAAAAGGGTTTTCTATGGAACAGGAAATGTTCTGGAAGGCTGTATCTCAAATAAGCAGTGGTGGTTAATGCAGGGGAGGGGAAACAGGGGGCCGACTGGGGGGAGTGCATTTTATTTCATACACTTTACTAAGTTATTCAACAGTCAACATACGGCAAACAATTTAATAGTTTCAAAATGGTTATTTCTATAGCGATTATTCCCAGTCACTTTTCTTAATGTTTTCTGTTTACTAACCTATATAGCCTAAACCACAGCACTGAAGTAAATCACCTTGTTTTCATAGGTCAAGAAACTTGATATATTGAAGCAAGTTAGATAATTAGCTCAAGGTCACAATTTAGTCAGGTGTTTTTTTTTTTTTTTTTTGTGGGAATTTCAAAACCAACGTCTTCATTTATTGTAGGGTATAAAAACAAAGCAAAACAAAAACAATTTAAATCTCTTAACACAGAACTTTATTCGTTAAACGAAGAAAGAAATACGGAAAGCAAGGCCATCTGTTTAATCTCTCCGACTCAGTGTTTTCACTGAGGCACGTCTCCAGCCATAGTGATGCAGACAGGCCAACATTTGTCCTGTCATCTCTACCCTGACTTCACTTGTTCGCTTCCCATGATGGACGGTATCCTCTGAGCCGGGAGCCAAGATAAACCTCTTCTCCCTTGAGTAGCTCCCAGTCAGATGTCCCGTCACAGCAACGTAACAATTACTAACCAAGGTAGAAAATCGGTATGGGAAGTGAGACTGTTGCAAGGACAAACCTGGTGCTGTGGTTCACAAGTGGTTCAAAATGGTTTGCAGGAAGAACGTAAAAGCTGCAGGCTAGCCAAGTCCTAGGAGGCTGTAAGCAGAATTTACCACAACATCCCAGTGGGAGTGTGCAAGGCCAGAACGCCAACAGGAATGTGAACACAAGACTGGAATCATGAACTTTCAGACGGAACAAGAATTCCATCAGGAACTGGACTACAGGTCATTGACAAAAATAAACAAATCTGACCAAGTTATTCTGTACCTTGAAGGCTAAGTTCAAACCTTAAGGCAGTGGAACTTCCAGGCTGTGATGTGGTCACTGCTTGCTGCATTTAGTCAGGTTTATAATAGGAGTTCAAAACCAAAACCGGAACAGAATCATGCAAAAAAAAAAAAAAAAATCTACAATTCGAGAGCATAAAGTGCTTTTAGACACTGTGGACAGGGTTGAGAATTTGTGTGAGGAGAAAGCAATTAATTATAGCTGTTAAAGAGATTAATCAGAACCAAGAAAAAAACCCCCCACAAACTTTCCATGTTGACAGTAAGCAAGGTGCCTTGCTGTGATCCCGCGCAGAAGATGTCAGAGTATAAAACTGCAAGCTCATCTGAAAACGTTGCATTTGAAAAGAGAATCCTGACTTAAAAATAAGCCTGAACAAAGAATGCCACCACACAGCTCCCCTATTTCAAAGGGGTGCACGGGGAAACATTTCCCCATTTGCTGTTCAGATGTTTGGAGGTCACTGCGGCCATACTCCTAGAAGCTGGCATCTGGATTGTCCCCCACATGGTGATGTTTCCAGGCAAGCAGAATGCAACAGTTACAGCATAATGCAAGCTCACCCCAAGGGGCTCCAGAAAAAACAAACAAGCAAACAATGTGTAGCAGGCTCGAGGTAAGTAGACCGAAGATCTAAGAAGCCGAGGTGTGGAACTGAAGAAGCTTACATTTCAAGAGAGACTGCAGGATACTGGAGATGCCAGGAATGCGGGCCATTTGATGAGAAAGGCTGACCCTGAGTGAAGCCAGCCCAACAGAGAGCCATGAGTGCCACGGGCAACAGGCCGCATGGGCAGGGCTACTGGTGGTCATGGGAGCTCAGATAATGCCTTCGAAGGCCTGCACATTGGGAGTGGAGCGCAAGGGTGCAGTGTTTGTCTGGCTGGTTTCAGCGCTGCTTTCTTTGGTTGACATTTTCCTTGCTATCCTCCTTTTCTTCCCTTTCAGAACGGGAGTGTCTGCTCCATGATCTTGCATGCTGTAAGAATGTAACTTGTATTCTGATTTTACAGTGGCTCACAGCTAAGAATCGTCCAGAATCTCTCAGGAGACTTTCCATTTTTGAGCAGGGTTTGAGTTGTTATGACTGGGGATTCTTGAAGCTAGACTGAAGTTTGTGTTAATTGTGATGTGGCCACGAGCCTCTGAGGGTCAGGGATCGGGTGCTGCGGTTCGAGTGTTAAATATCTTTATACGTTCATGTGTCTGAGCATGAGGTTTGCCACTGATAGCCCACATTTGCTGCAGCTGTGGAGCCTTTGGGAGAGAGGCCTTGCTGGCTGGTCTAGACCAGGAGAAAATGCCTTGAGAGTGTAACTGGCCCCACTTCCTGCTTGAGGTCTCTTTCTTCTTGTCTGTCACCATTATGTTCTTGGCTGTCTCACACTCCAGCTGCCACAGCTGTGACCTGCTGCCATCACTGTGCCTTCCTCACCATGACAGGTTATTCTAAACCATGAGCCTGAACTAACCTCCCTCCAGTCTGAGTTGATTCTGTTCAGTATTTGATTAGGGCATCAGAAAAATACCCAATACAATCACTAAGCCAGTTTACTGGCTTGGAGTTAATTTCCTAGAGTTTAGAATTCTGTCTTGTTAAAATCAAATCCCTACTTCTCTCTTTCTGTCACACGGAGAAAACAGCATTTGATTTCCCTAATAACAGGCTGAAATCAACATACACGGTAAGCAACAAGAGTCTCAGGCACACGGTAAGCCTCCAGCAGATGGAAATTGTTAGGAGAATAGCTGTATTGTCTCCTGTGTCCCGGGAGAGCCAGACTTACAACAACTGAAGGACTAGGCAGCCAACACTGTAAGGTGGGTGTGAACAAGGTGCGAACAGAGACATGCAATGACACAGGAGTGTGGACCTGATTCCTGAGGTCCCCTGCTGGGCATCCTGAGCTGGCAGGAGCTACCTTCTGTGCTTCCAAATGTGAGTATCTTGGAGGGGACCCGCTCTGGTGAGCGGTGGCCCGGCAATCCTTGGGGACCAATACCAGTCAGACAACCCTCGGAATGTAAACAGCAGTGTGAAAATGGAGCACAGGGAGGGTGCCAAGCTGAGTTGCTGAGGCAAATGCATCTTTCTTAGGAGCCCATGCATAGAGCCTGTAAGTGCTGGATTAAAAAAAAAAAAAAAAGCATAACTAACTTCAAGTAACGTCATGCTGGCTTCCTGTACACTAAGCATCATCATCCTTGGTTCACGTTGCACTGGTCAAACAACTTACGCAGAAAACTCACAATATAAAATTTAAACACGTAAACAGATTTATTAATTAATAAAGGCCATGTGAGCTTCACACACACAAACACACACTCAATTACTGGGAACATTTTCTAAGTTACAATGTAATTTTCAGTGGCTATGCAGTCTTCCTTCCTGAGGCAATGTCACAGTTACTGTCTGCTTTTATGTGGTGTCCTTCTGGCACCTACAGTGGGGACCAAGCTATGTGTCTCCAACAGTGGCTCTTAACCTGTAGGCTGCAATCCCTTTGGGGGTTGAATGACTCTTTCACAGGGGTTGCCTAAGACCATAGAAGACACATTACAATTCACAACAGTAGCAAAATTACAGTTATGAGGTAGCAATGAAAATAATTTTATGGCTGGGGGTCACCACAACATGAGAAACTGTATTAAAAGGTCGCAGCACAGGGAAGGGTGAGACGCTGACTCAAAGGCTGACTTACTAAAATCACACCCAAGCATGGACTAAATAGTGTGCATCCACATAACCTCTCTCATATTCGGTCTACCTGGAGATGATTGTTCTGTGAAAGAATTTATGACTCCCAGCTGGGCATGGTGGCACACACCTTTAACCCCAGCACTCTGGAGGCAGAGGCAGGTGGATCTGTACGTTTGAGGTCAGGCTGGTCTACAGAGTGAGTTTCAGTACAGCCAGGACTACACAGAGAAACCTTGTCTGGGGGCGAGGGTGGATGGAAGACGCTCCAAACTCGGGCACCAAATTAAGACATGGTTCCAACTCCACTGAGCAAACTCCAGTATCACTTAAGTGACAATCTGCTTCAGCCACAAGAAGTGTTTTTCACAAAGAATTCAAAGGATTGTCTATAAGCTCATTTATGTCACTTTCCAATGTTATTTTCCACAATCGCCTCAAGATTTTAATATAAATTAATCTGTCCTGTAGAAGTCTCAAATACCTCACAGTAGTCCAACTGAGGCAGCACAATGAAGCCCGAGGTCAACGAACCTAGAGGCACTCCCACAGTAAACATACCTTTAGCAGCTCTCCCTAACACTCATCAGGCAGAGTTCTGGTACAAACCTCCTGACCATCTAATTATTCCTGTGATGAGCTGTGATGTGGGGGTCCTACTCTCTCTTTCTAAACCATGTGACAGAAGTTTCCACAGGACATTAGGGCGAAGAGAGTCTGGCTCTGGGCAACAGTGACTTTGAGGGAGGGCAGCCCTTGGCCACTCTCTCAAGGACTCAAGACCTCGGTCTGAATCCTGTGAATCTCTACTTCTTGCTAACGATTCCTTTAAGAGCTCTAGAGCTTGAATCTGCTTACTCCTTTAAGTAAAAAGTAAGCCCACTAAAACCTCCCTGCAACTTTTAACGAGAAAAAGCTTCATGACAGGGCCCTGCCTTTCCAACTACAGACAGCATAGGTTAATTTCCTAATGCTACGGCAACAGCCAACGTACATCACCAGACAAGCCTCAGAAACGGCAGCTTTGAAATGATAACTCCGGATGTATAATATACACACATATTGTTTGTATTTA